GCAAGCCTGAGGTCCTGAGTTCGATTCCTGGTACTTCCCCAATAAAAACTGAAGTAGAACTATTAACAGTTTATGATGGATAATGACTTCAGCTCTGTGTTCAGTGGACCATCTAAGTCTGATGTACAATGAAAAGAAAACAGAGTTTGAAGAGAAAGAAAGTATTTATAGGGAAAATAAGGAAAAATTAGGATTTCTCCAGAAAAGAACGATGAATGTAGCTATTGCCAGAGCAGGTGGCTGGATGCTTAGGAGATTGCAGGGAAGTTATCCAAGGAAGAGGACAGCCTGCTGCCCAGGATCAGCTAAATGAGCTGGCCAGGCAAAGGTCATGGCAAGGTGCCAGTGCCCCGGGACTGAGCAGAACTGAGCCATTGGCTTCTGAAGCTCCCCTTCCCCAACCAGTCTCTGGAGTAAGAAGCTCTTGTTGTCTGACTGTGCATGCTGATGCACACCTATACTCCCAGCACTCTGGGAAGCTGATGCAGGAGGATCACAAGTTTGAGCTCAGCCTGGGCAACTTAGTGTCTTAGCAAGACTTGTCCCAAAGTTATTTTTTTTTAAAGGGCTGGGGGTGTAGCTTAGTGTGAAGGTCCTGGTTCAAACTGCAGTGTTGAAAAAACAAAGGAAGAACAAGGAGGAGGAAGAAAAAGAGGAGGAGGAAGAGGAAGAGCAGCAGCTAGTGCTGCTCTTGTCTGTTCCAGAGCCTCTGCCAGACAACCCTCCCAACAGTGCTAAAAAGGGGGTTTGATGTCTCCTACATCCCATGGAAGGGATACGCATCAGCTTTCCTGGGTCTCATGCTCTAAATTAAGACATCCAGAAGGAACAGGAATGGCAGGGTGCAGGGGGACTCACATGTGTACTTCTAAGGACAGAACTGAACTTTGAAAAAGTAACTCCACGATCAAATGTGTGAATACAAACAGGCCAACCTTAGAAGGACTCCATCTGCCTGCCTCTATTGGCTATGACATTTTTAGGCAAGTGGTATATTCTTGAAACCTTGAGTACTGCAAGACAAGTCACAACTAAGTTTAATTTTAGAGATCTGAAGTTTTTCCACATTTGTGCCTAGAGTTTTTCACGTGTTACATCATACTATTTCAAAAGCACAAAATTCAGGTTCACATCCAGTCTGTGCCTTAACAGTGAAGGTGCAGTGGTGATGGACCGCACTGGCAGCCCGGCAAAGGGGAGCGACTTGGCTTTAAACACCACCTACCTGCTCATGACTAGCACTTTTATATCTCTGTCTTGGTTACTTTTCTCTCGTTGCTGGGACAAAGCACCTGATGCCCAAAATGAAGGAAGGAAAGGTTTAGTTAGCTCGCAGTTTGTGGAGGTTTCAGTCCATACTTGGCGGGCTCCGAGGCAGAGTGGCACATAGCTCTGGGCAAGCATTCACAGCAGTGGAAGACAGCAAAGCAACAAGAGCAAAAAAGGAGGAATGGTGGCAAGCAGCCTCTTTCCCTCCCTCACACTGTATGCAAACTATCCTCCCCAGGGCAGTGTAGCCCTCACAACCAAGAATCAAAACTCTAAAAGCCCGCCCCATGACTGCGCGAGGATTTGGGGGGACACGCAGACACAAACCATAACAATCTCCATGCAGGTCTTGACCTCCAGCTCTAGTCCCAGAGAGCCAGTGCTTCATCTTGTAGCAGTGGAGGTGAACCATTCAGGGACAAATGCCAAATAGCAACCAAAATCCCACTTATTAATCACAAAGAGCCAACACTGCAATTAAATCTGAACACTGAGGTTTTAGTTTAGAAAAAACAAATTACAAATAACATCTTTTGCCTTAAAAGAAAAACAAATAACACACAAATGTCACAGGCTCGCCACCACTGTCCCACAGGTTGGCCAGAGGCACTCCCACCTTCCCAAGGCTGGACTGGGCGCCTCTTTGCTTGGCCCTCCATTCTTCTAGTGGTGCAAGCCTAAAACTCTGTCCTCTGCTTCTGTGACTCTTTTTTTCTCACAGCCCAAGTCCAGTGAGTGAAAAACTACTTTTTGCTTTGCCTTCTCAGAGTCTCCCACCCCTGGAAGGGCCAAGGCCCTGCCCTCACACCCGAGTCCCTGCACTGTCTCCTGACCATTCTCCTTGCTTTAGCCTTTGTGTCCTTATAATCTGTTCTCAACAAGGTATCCAGAGAGATCCCACTTAAACAAAAGTCAGGTCATGCTGCCACAACTCCAAACCCTCGAAAGGCTTCGTTTCTCACTTTGAGTAAGAGTTAAATCCATACAGTAAGGGCCCATGCAACCCCATTCCCCAAACCAACCTCCTCTCTACTCCCCCACCCTGCCTCTCTCCTCTCCACTCACTCTGCTCCACCTCCTTGTCCTCTATGCCACCTCAGGGCCTTTGCACTGGCTCCTCTTTTTGCCTGGAGTGCAATACCCCAGACATCCAAAGGGTCTCCCCTGCTTCCTTTTTGGATTGGTTTAAAGATCACCTCAGGAAAACCTTTTCCAACCACTCCAGCTAAAGCTACAACCCTTCTCCTCCTTGTCACACACCTCCTCCTCCCCTTCTCTGATGTTTTATTTTCTTCAATGCTGTTTATTTTTCCCAAAAGATGATATGATTCATTTAGTTATTTTTTTCTTAAAGTCTGCCTTCCACTCTAAAATTTAACTTACACCAGGTCAAAGATTTTTTTCTGTTTTCAGTACTTTATCCCAACTCCTGAAACAGTGGTAATAGCTCCTTTGTCCCCGAGTCACTACGACTGAGTGACTAAATCATATAATTGACTTGTGCTTGCTCCAACAACAAAAAAATCCATCAAATATGTACATACCGTGGGAACCATCAAAAATAATGTGCTTATTAAAAAAGCAACCATTAAGGCCACCAGCCATTACCCAAATAAACAACAACTCACAAAGTAGCATAATGGCAAGCAGATGAAAAATGTTTGTCTCCAGCAATAATAAAAGAAAAGCAATAATTGTAATGTTAATGTTCAATATAGGCAAAGAAATGGCAAGAAAATAGCACCCTCCAGAAACACTAGTACAAAAACAATCATTAGAAGCCCCCTAAAACATTAGTTGGCCTGAAAAATGCTATGCCTTTACCCAATAATTAACTTCAAATAATTTATCCTATGAAAGTACAAAGACAATTACATGCAAAATCCAAACCGCCACATTATCCAAAGTAACGTCAAATCAGCAGAACCCTACTGGCAGTACTCGGGAAGTGGGTAAACAAACTCTGATCCTGCTCCCCGTGGCCACTCACTCTTCCTATTTTCTCCAAGAGGCTGTCTTGGAAGCAACTCTATTGACCCCGTAAGACTCTTGCCAACTCTATAAGACTGTTTTCATTACAACTTCTCAAAGTATTTTCTTCCATGCTTCCATAATATTTATCAAATTTACAATGATATGTTCACCTTTGTGTCTACTTTTATTTTTTTATTAAGTTTATTGGCACAATTTAGACAGACATAGTGATCACATTCATCATAGGGAGTATGTACCTGTACATGATGTATCTTGTACCTTCTTCCCCTCCTTATTTACAACCCAGCCTCCCCTACTTTTAATCTTTCTTTTCTCATTTTTTTCTTTTTCCTTCCTATTCTACCAATTAAACTGTATGCTGCAGGGAGGCAGCAGCTCTCCGTTTCATTCATGGTAAAGTCCTAAATCCACAACTTCTAGAGCATAAGTATCTAAAATTTGTGGAATAATTCATATATCAACAAAAAATAGCAAAAATACTATACTCTTTAAAATATTTCTTTCAATAAACCAATAGAAATTAGTAGTGCCATTATCTTAGCTATCTTGTGTGTGTGTGTGTATACATACACATATATTTCCTCCCCTTCACAGTTAATGCTTAATTTTTTTACCAATTTTGCATGCTTATATGCGGTAATCTGAACAACTACTTTGAAGATAACAATATGCAGTATAACAAACATTGTTGAATTCCTATCATCTTGTTTTTCTGAAATTCAGTATTGTTTCTAATTCTTTTTATTATTTTTTAATCTCTTTGAAAATACTTCTGAAACATTTTGATCACATAGGAAATTCCTGCAATATGACATTTGTGGAACAAAATTTATACTTAGTGTCATTTCAATGATGGAAAAATACATTAGAAGATCTTCCATAGTATTAACACTAGCCAGGTGCTAAAAATGCAAGTATAATTTGTTTCTTCTTCGTATTTGTCTATATTCAGAATTTTATCATCCTGGGCTACCTTTGCCATGTTTGTCTACATCCAAATTTGTTTTACAATGGGTATGTATTATTTCTATAGTACAATAATATACTAATCACTGAGGAAACCGTGGGACTAGGGAAGACAGGAAAGAGAGAATAGAGGTGCAGAGAACCTCAGGGATGACCCTGGCCAGCACTGCAGAACAGGAGCGGAGGGCCGGGAAGGGCAGCAGGGCCACTCTGCAAGCATGTGTGATGTACTCAAGACGGTGATCAGACGAAAGCGTGAGGGACCCACTGTGATACCCCGGGAATCTGTCTCTGACAAACTGTAGCTCAAGGGCTGGCACCCAGACCCCACCTACTTTTGTAAACTAATTGCACTGAAATATAGCTGTTCACTCAGCCTAGTGCTACTTTCAGACTAAAACGGCCTTCAGGCTATAAATGACAGCTTCAAGTATTTACGACATAGATGACTAACTCATAAACTGTGAAGCAGTTCCTATCTGGCCTGTGGCAGAAAGTCTTTTGAACCTTGGTCTATGGGGTGTTTTAGAGAGGGAGAAACTAAGAAGCCAGGGAGTGGTGACAAAAGCCAACACTAAAGGTGACATGGAGGATGACACTATAAACAGATGGGTTTTCACAAATACTTGTATCTACTGACAGATGGAAGAGCAGGAAAAGGCTTCTTTTAAGAGGTAAGAAGTATTCATATTTTAGACAGTTACAACATTTTACATGATAACTATTTCAACCTACAGCAGGGAAACTGCAGCAATTACCGGACTCATTACCTGAGGGATCCGAAGCGTAGAGACTGGCAGCTGTCGCGATGGGTCCTGGCGGATGGATGGCGCTGGCTGAAGACCGCTGACTTGCGATCAGAATCCTGCTCTTCGCAGAGGGCAGCCGGGACACTGCTCCCAGTCCCAGCTGGGGCTTAAGGAGCATGGCTGATCGATAGAAAGTTGGGGGAACTTCATAATGCGTATAGGGAGGAGAACAGAATTCTTCTTTTCCAGAGTGGTCCGCCACCTACAATACAAGATGAGAAGCTCAGTCAGGAACTTCACAGCATAGTATGAGACTAACCAGGGTCGGGAGATCCAAGTTCAAACATCCACGCTGTTCCCACTGAGTTGCTTGACTACAGATCTTCTACTGTCTCTGGGCCCTGTGTCCTCATCTTGAAGTTGAAAACACACCTGGATAGTCTCTTAGGTCCCTTCCAGTTCTAGCAAGCTATATGAATCTGTATTTCCACTGGAGAAAAAAGAACTCACTCTGTAAGATTTTTCTACTTTCACTGTCACAAAGTAATAGGAATTTGAGACAGTGGTAGTCTTTAAATACAAACTGTCAAGAAAGCAAAGAAATAATTTAGAAAACATTAATAAAATTATGGAAGTTTTATTGTATTCATGGAGAAAAGGAGCCATGTAGTGGGTGAACTTTATCAATATATATTGTCCTTACCATCACAGGCAATGTAGAAAATAAAATATATTCTGTTATGGGAGAGATGGTTATTTAGAAAAATTAGAAAACTTTTAGGGCCTCTACTGTGTCTATATCATTAAGAACCATCATTAAAAATGAAATGCCCTCATCCAACTGTCTTCTCTAGTAAAGTGATGCTCTGGGGAACATCTCAGTAAGTTTCACTGGAATAAAGTTCTAGGGAAGAGTCTTACGGGCTGTTGAATTCATCCCATTTAGAACATGGTCTATATGTAGCTGAAGTCAATGGATATTTGTGAAACAAAGGAGTCCTGGCTCCATTCTTTTCTCAAAAATTTAACAATATTGTGCTTAAGAGTTGAGACTAAAATACAACTGATAAGTGCCATTTATATATGCCTTTGTAGTGTCACAATGTTTGTCCATAGCCCTGGTGTTTGTCTCGCGCCTCCCCCCCCCCCATAGTGCTTGGGACTGCCTTCAGGGCCTTGTGCATGCTATGCAAGTGCTCTACCACTAAGCTACATCCCTAGCCTCTTGTTTCTTATATTAATTGAAAAATGGGTCCAAACTACATCATCTATTTCCTTTAAGTAACAATGAACAAAAACATTGCTAGGAGAAATGTATGAAAAGATATAACCATTAATTAATTCTGCTGTAAATCACAATACAATTTTGTGTCACACTTCTATTTAGAGTCACAAGCATTTAACAATATTCTTTAATAGGGGCTACAAAAGCTTTGATCCAAGCTGTTGAAGAGATAATTCTTTAATTTGATACTCTTTTAGTGTAGAAACAGATAACACAAATTTCTCCTTAGAACTGACATTGTTGAAACAAAAAATTAGGTGTTCAAAGTTTTATTATAATCGCATGGTAAAATATGCATGACTGCTACAGTAGACAGACTGTATTCAGACTACAGCAAATTATACTCTCGTCAAAGAACATTCCACACCTGCTCTCTGATAAAATTGTTACCATTCTCTGCTTTCTCACTCTCTCTGGCTCCCTTCTTTTAGTCAAATACCTTCTACTTTTTATATTCATTTCTAATTTTTGGTGCTATAGTTCACTGCTTTGAGCAAATGCTCTCATGAGGAAATTAGTACCTTTTCCAACCTATGCAGTGAAGTTTTCAGGATTGCTGTATGTCGATCTCAGTAATTACTCAAAACCTTTGGAAATGGATGCTTATCAGAGGTCAAAACCCACTCTCGACAATGACTTCAACGATCTCAGTAACTTCAGTGTCTGTCGTTTTATTGCATAGTTTGTTGCTTATAAGAGCATAAATTCTTCAAAAAGGTGGAAAGTATACCTTAGAAGCCAAGTTTATGCATTTTTAATTAACCAAGGGAATCCTGCACATTCTTTTATTTCATGTTTACTACAGGATATACCAGACAACTGTGTTTATTTATAAACAAATAGAGATCAGCCCCAAATACTGCTGCTTGTCCTCCTTCTCCAATGGAGTATGTATTTTTAGAGAAATAACTTTGAAAGCAAACAAATGAATCCTACAGTTTCAAACGAATTTCTAAAATCAAAGGACACAAACAAACTCTTCTTGCACTGCCCCCTCTGCTCTGTGCCCTGACCCATTACCAATGGGATTGTGTGCTTGAGGCACAGGGTAAACATGGGGGCTTCACTGAGAAGCCACTGGGATAGCTGCAAGGAGAAGGGGGCCTGTGAGATTCAATTTTCTGTATCAGCATGGGTCAGGCAGAGTGCCCAGACAGTTCTCAAACACTATTTGTTTTGTGTCTATATGTCCACCCAAAGCCTCATGCAGTCCTAGGGTTTTCTCCGAGGTGGCTGAATCTAGCGTGTGTAACACTGGGATTAAGAGTGGGTAACGGCTGGATCAGTCCACTGATTGGGTTGGTACCGCCCTAACCCCAGCAGTCTGGGTAAGTTAAAAGGAGCAGAAAGAGGTGTGTCTTCCTCGCTTGTTGTTTTGCTACTTTCTGCCTGCCATGGCTTCTCCTGTGGCAAGCCATCCTACTTTGGAGACAGCTGACTACGGACTGAAACCTCTACAAACTGTGAGCTAAATAAACCTTTCCTTCCTTAACTTTGGACATCGGGTATTTTGTCTCAGCAATGAGAAAAGTAACTAAGACATTATTCTAGAAACAAACATTACTGCTGTGAAAGTGTTCCTTAGACGGAGTTAACATTTAAATTAACAGACCTTAAATAAAGCAGATTATCCTTTATAACCTAAGGTGCGCCTTAATCAGCTGAATCTGTGAGAAATAGACTGACTTCCCCTGATTTAAAGGTGATTCAGAATCAAACTTCAGTACACAACCTTTCCAAAGAATTTGGGCTACTGCCCTACCCTGTAGATTTGGGACTTGCCAGCTTCCAGAGTCATGGGAGCCATTTTTCAAAAATACCTTCATTTTTTGATATTTGAGACGCTGGTTCCAGGATCTACTGTGGATACCAAAATCTATAGTATGGATATTCAAATCTCTTATATAAATTGGTATATGATTTGCATATAACCTCTGTACATTCTCCCACATACTTTAAGTTATCTTTAGATTACTATTAATATCTAATACAATGTAAATACTATCTAGACAATTGCTAACCTATATTGTTTAGGGAATGAGGAGAAGAAAAAGTCTGTATATGATCAGCACACAAGTTATTTTTCCTGAATATTTCAATCTGTGGTTGGTTGAGTCCAAAAATACAGGGAGCTGAGTATTAGAAAGTTTCCCTCCGTATGCATGTATGTGCATATACAGGTGTCTCTCTCTCTCTCTCTCTCTCTCTCTCTCTCTCTCACACACACACACACACACACACTCCTATTGGTTCTACTTCTCTGCAGAACTTTGATCACCACAGTGCCCCTCACAGATGAGTGGACCCAGAAGCAGTCAGGGACAAGCCTTGACCTCACATCTGCATGCTGTGAAACACTACCTCCCTGTCTGCTTGCCCCTGCGTCCTTCTTTCCACTTCCCTTCATCAAAAATTAAAAGCACTCCTAAGTCACAGGGAGAAAGGGACCCTGAGATCTCTGGAGGGGCTCAAGAAGAGACCAGTGCATGTACTTCATCACTCTGGCCTGACTAGATCCCAGATGATCTCAAAAGCCACTTCCCGAAGCTCTTGCTGTCTGTGCTGATCTTCCATGAGAAGACACCCTTCCCTCAGGTGAGCCCTACTCTTGAATTCTGTTTCTAACTGTGCGATCTAACCAGGAGAGATCTGTCAATAACACCGGGAAAGCCCACAGCTAGTTGCGATTTTAAGACTTTCCTACTGTATTAAAAAATACATGGCTTCTGTAACTGAAAGGGATTTCCAATATAACTTGTCAGAAGTGTGTTCTTCTCCTAGAAACTGAGCCCATGGAGCTTGGGCACGTTGGTAGGGAGGGCAGCTTTCAGATCTCCCTGCGCTGAGAGGCCTAGCTGGGCTCCATCAAGCTGTAACTTTAGGAACAAATGGCCAAGGGCTCCCCCCACTCCCATTTTTGATTAAAGAGCATTGCCACAAAAATTCAGACAACACCACAGGCTGTGTCGAGCAGCTTGGACGAAGGGCCTCAGATGTTCTGATTAGAGCAAGAAATGGCCCCCAACGACAGTGGCTGACACCAGGAGGGCCCACCATATCATAAGGCTCTCTCCAAATGCTCAGAATCACTGAAGCCATACAACATCTGTACAGTCCTCACTTCTGTGAGACTGGGAGTAGCTTCGGAGGGAGGAAGGAGAGGAAAGAGTTTTGGGAAGATATGCGCATGATATTGCACTGATCTCAGCCTCGGAGGAATTATTCTTGGAGGGAGCAGAAGCAACACAGAGAGTGGACAGAAGAAAAATAAAGGAGGGCACAGAGAAATAATTGCAAACAGCAACAGGATTTTCACTTCTATCTCCAAATCAAGCTTCCCTCATAAGCATGTTTGGCAGATAGCAGGGCATGGTACACATGTCTGTAACCCCCGCACTCTGGAGGCTGAGGCAGGAGGATGACAGGGAGCTGGAGGCCAGCCTGGGCTATACAATGAGCTCAAGGCCAGGGTGAAATATCCTGTCGAAGAACAAACAAGCAAAGGATAAAAACAAGTGAGTTTGGCAGAGAAAAACCTGGGGTCTCTTCATGGAACTTCTGTGGTACACTGAGAGTTTAAGGAGTGTTAAGCAGCCTTGGAGGCCATGGTCCTGGGGGAAGGGCGGTCAGCTCCCAGAGGCTTCAGGAAGCATGCCTGACTTCCAGAAGAGCCCAGGCTCCAAGACTGATCTCAGCCTCGGAGGCCCAGGTGAATGAGTAGTTGGAAACTTAAAAATGACTCCATTTAACTCAAAAGCTGATACATAAAACTTGAATAGAGGGGTCCACTGTTAGGGCATGCCACTGCCTAGGGCTAGCCCTGAGTGTCCCCTGGTCAGCACATGCCCTTCACACTGGCCACTGTAGGAGAAGCCACTTACACACAGGAGACTACCCAGCCATGTACAGTGAAACCAATGCTGACTTCTGTGTTCCCAGGCTCTTTCTAGCCTGGGAAGGTGGGAAGCCAGTTACACTCACAGGGCTGGGGAAACCCAGAATTAGAACTCAGGGAGTGAACTATGTGATTCAGTGGCTGAAGGCCTGTCTTCAGCAGGGCAACAAAGACCATCACTGGGAACCCGGTGGGTGACTACCTTGGTCAATGTCTACTGCTGGGGCCAGATTCATGTTTTTCTCTGTGCTAGATTTGGATAACTTCCCCGTTGATTAATACAGGCTTTAATAATAGTTTGCAGTGTACTAGCTATTATTACTCTCCTATAGTCTTATTTTGAAATTTTATATCATGATTTTTATTATTTTTTTTCTTTTCTTTAAAATAAAAAAAAATTAAATGGAAAAATAGATAAATAAATAAATAAATGTATCAATACGTTCAATCAAGCCGGAGTCCAGCTTTGGGCTTATTGTACCTTTTAGTCTTGGTTTTCGCATCTCATGATATGAGTTGAATTGCTCCACTCCACTGCCATACAATATCTCTTTTTTTGTTTTCAGTGCTAGGGATCAAATTCAGGGCTTCACAAACGTTAGTCAAACATCTACCCCTGAGCAACATCCCTGGCCCTAAACAACCATGTTCTGATAGCTGGTATCATTCTAAACTCTGGGAACACAGTAGGGAACCACCTTGAAAAAAACCCACGCTCCTGTGCAATTTACATTCTAGTAAGTACAGGAAACAGCAACAAAGTACATGTCAGGGAAAGTTTAGATCCAGGAAGAAATAAACTAGAGTAAATTCACTCAGGGGAAGGTGGACGGACTGTTTCAAAGAGATGGCATCTGGACACAGGCCAAAGGAAAGAGAGGGAGAGAACCATTCAGATAACCAGGAGATGAGCGTTCTGACAAGAAGGAAGGGCAGAGGTCCTGGAGCAGCGGAGTGGGAGAGGAAGAATGAAAGGAACCCACAGTGGATGGCAGTGGAGCTATGCTGAGCACATCTAAGAGGCTGAGCCGCCCCATAGGTTCCTCTTCATGTCCCAGAGGCGATCAGGTAGAAGCTGACCTGATGTGCCATCCTTAGACGCCACCAACCTGGGCCACAAAGAGGGAGACAAATCTTACAGCACAGTATAGCTGAACAGCACAGGCCTGAGTGAGAATCTCCCTGCTCTTCCTGTTTTGTGGCACTAGGTGGGCGACTTCAACCTCTCCAAGTCCGTTTCTTTCTGCACGTGAGGACAGAAACTACAACATCAACCATCAGGGAATTACTCGATGGATTAGTGAAGACTGAGGATTGTATGTTATACATTATGCGTGCTCAATGCACAGTAAGTGCGCAACTAAGTGTCAGTAGTAATCATATTTATTAAAAACTATCAGCCCATGCCTAACACATTATCATTCTTCTTGGTCACTATGTTCTTCACGTGCATGAATAGAAGATTCTCCCAAAAAAGAAATACTACCAGTTAGAGAATAAGTCTGATCCATTTGAAGAATATATTTACTTTGGATTCTTCTTTGCTTTGACCTAGCTCCTAAAATAATTCTGGTCATGTATTTAAACATAAAAGCCAATCAAATAAATACTTATCTAGTTTTACATGTGTCATACTGAGTGAAATTTACATAGTTTTCCTTAGAGGTGGTCAATCTATTAGGACCATCTAGTCAAAAATGCCCATTGCTCTAGAGAGCTCTTCCAGTCAAAACCACCCACTTCTGTACAAATGTACCCATTAACACCTGTAATTCACTTAGAGAAGACAGTTCGTTTTCACAATTCACTCAACAAACACCCACTTTATGGATGCATCACAATGCCGTGTTCTTACCTCCTGTAAAAACTTCTCACTCATTTGACTGAAAGGATGTCCTGGAGGCTTGATCCCAGACACCATCAACCCAGAACTGAAGACCCTGGGCTTCTGCAAGTCAGGCTTGAATTTCTCATACAGGCTGGCAGTCGACTTCAGGTCACTACTTGCCACCCTGTCTTCCTGGGGTGGGGCCATGCTACATGGGGGCGGGGCATAGGGAAGCCCCACAGAAACCAGCGAAGTGTCCACGGGGCCCAGGGCCTGTGGGTTCCTCCGGATGTAGGTGATGATCTTAGGCCTCACGTGCTTGGGCTTGGGCATAACAATGGGCTTCGTGTCTGTTCTGTCTTCCATTTTTTCAACCTGCTTCTCCACTCCTTCCTGCAAGGAAGCTGTGCCCTTGGAATGTGTGACGACAGGCTTGGGGATCCCACTGGGGCAGGTGTTCTTGTCAGGCACTTTCGGGGATGTGTTCAACAGCTGCACACTGTCAGCGGAGGGCGGGACCACTGAGGGTGACCCTGGACCCACACCGAACACACCAGGGTCCTGGAAAACGTTACTGGGTGGCGTGGGCTGGTGGGTCATGTTCACAGTTGTCTCTGGGTGAAGGGTAGCTGGGGTACTGAGAAATGAATCTTCTCTAGATGGAGTAATATCAGTCTTGGATTCATTTTCTAGAAGGTTCGTAGGTTCAGCCACAAGTGTTGCCGTATCTTTGTTTTCCCCCACTTCGGAGCTTCTGCTTTGAAGATACAGGGACTCAGGAACCTCAGTTTTGCTCTCTCCCACAGAAGGGTCTGATACCAACACCACAGCACTGTCCCCGTTTCCAATATCCAGCCTCCGTTTCTCCTCACTGACATCTGAGGGCTTGCCGTCAGGCAGGCCGTTAGGAACAATGGCTACATGGCCACCACTGGGAGAAAAGTCGTCGGATGTCAGTTCCCCCAATTTACTTCCTGTGCTTAGTGACATTTTGCCAGTTAGTTGATTGCCAGCCACTCCCAAGGAAGCAGGGACCGGCTTGAGCGTGGTTTGGAGAGATTCCTCCACACCTGTCTTGACTCCTGTCTCCTCACTGCCGCCTCTGCCCACCCCAAGATGACGACAGACGCTGTCTGATGGACCGCTAATGGCACTGGTGGCTTCTTTGTGTGCTTCCCCACATGTCTCCTTTCTCTCTAGGGGTGACATCCTCTCTTCCTGGGGACGTCCCAGGTCTCCTGCCTGGGTTGAAGTGAACTCCTCCCCAGCCCTGAGTTGAACGCATTTCAGTTCCAGCTTCGGCTCTCCCTTTCCCTGACCTAATTGTGCTTCAGGATAACTCAGGATTTCCTTTGACAGCAAAGCTGAATTCAGAGCGGGCTCAGGATGGGCAGAACGTGACTTGTGCTCATTGCAAACATTAGGTTCATGTGCCCCCTCCATCTGGGCCTCGGAGGGGATGGCGTCCCTGGCTTCTGAGGTAGATGGCTTAGGAGGACGCACACTCTTTCCCTCTGAGGTATTGTAAGCTGGAAGAAAAGCTGTCTCTGGAGAGTGGTCAGCCAGTGTCCTCTGCGGCTCCTCCCCACACCTGGGCACATGATCCCGTGGCTCAGGGGCACCGGGCCTTGCAAGGTGCTGTGGAGTCAAGCTCTCAGCCACAGCTGCAGAGCGGCTTGCTCCTTCCAAAGAATGCCTTCGCAACTCTTCATTGTCAAGGGTCTTGGCCAGTTTGTCCTTTGGAACACGCCAGGGAACTTCAACATCTTTCTTAGCCAAAACCTCTGAACTGGCCTCGCTCATCGCGTTCCTCCAACTTGACAGGCTTGGCCCCTGCAAACTCTGAGGAGTCCGTGAGATCTCCGTGCCTCTCTCCACCGCAGAGTCTTCATGTAATCCTCTGGGGAAAGCAGGAGAAAGTTTAAAGTCTTTCAAACTTGTGGAGCCAGCCTGAGACCCCCTCCTAAAGCCCTGAGGTTGATGAGCCTCCTTCTGGAAGTGAAGATGGTGTTCCTGCCCACTTGAATTTGCGTTTCCAATCTGATCAGTCAGGTCACATATCTTGGACTCATCCTGAGGGGAGCTGACCGCCAACATGATCTGATTGGCATTTGTATCTCCCAGACTTAGAATACTCTCGTTATTATTTCTTGCTCCATTTCTGTTGTCCTGCAATTGATTGAAACATGATTTCTTGGGAGCCACGGGGATGCTCATTGTCAGCTCTTCAGTGGGGGCTGCTGGCCATGCAGTCTTACTTAATGGAAAGGGGCTTCCTTCAAGCTGCAGTATGAATTACAGGAAGTTCTCAAGCTGCTTGTCCTCCTCTAAAAATGTCACACTGAGACACAGCTTTAGTCATTTTCACAAGCATTGTCTTGATACACGGCAGAAGGATTCATCGGTTAGGTTCCTGCTGAATGAGAGCCAATTAATCCATGACACCTAGAGAAAAATAGAAATACATTCATGTTAAAATGACAAATAGATGCTCAGGAGAAAAAAGCATGGCAAACACACAGATGTATTCCTTAATTCCACACTATTTCATTCACTCAACAATTTTTTCCAAAAACCTTTCAAGTAAGGGCTCCTGCTGGCCAAATATGGAAAGCTGAACACGAAAATGATAAATGTTAGAAATGGATTACAAATGCATGTTACTGTCACTTTAAATTTTAGAAGTCCAAAAGTCCATAATGATCCCAATTTAAAAAGGTGAAGGCAAGACTCATCTTCAGAAAAAGACCCACTAAGGCAGAAAAAGTACAAATTTGAAAGATCACTATCTTGTAGTCACTGGAATAATTATTACCTTGGGCAAGGGACACCAATAGATGGTAGAAATATGGCATGAAAAATCATGATTCACAGAATATTGACAGAATCTGAAAGTACCATCCCTTCAGTTACTTTACTTCCAACAAAAAGAAAATATTATTTTTACAACGCAGAAATCTGGTAGACAGCATCTCAACCAAATGATCAAAGTTAACGTAATGGAAATTGATGTCATGTGCCGCTGTTGGCAGGCAGTCAGCACTCTATAGCTCCCACCACTTGGTGGTACTCCTGCCATAAACTATCAGCCTGAATTTAATCCTGAGGAAACAATCAGACAAATTTAAAATGTGGGATGTTCTATAACATAACTGGTACAATTTGCTCCCGAAGTGCCAACCGCTTCTGGATTTTTAAAAAATAACAAAATACATTATTGGGATAATAAGGATGTAATACGAACTGTATATTAGGTAGAAGTATGTTATCAATATTTACCTTCTTGGTGTATAAATACTACAATATGTCAGAAATTACCTTTGTTCTTGAAAAACATATGTTTACAATTTAGGGTAGCATGAAATGATTTTTATATTCTAATCGAAGGGATTTACCAAAGAAAACTGTGTATGTGTGCATATGATGGGTGAAAGAGACAGAAACAGAGCAAGAATAGAGAATAAAACTGCAAAATACTAACCATTTAAAAATCTGAATAAGGTGCTGGGGGTTTAGCTCAGCGGCAAAAGCGCCCACCTGGCAAGCGCAAGGTCGTGAGTTCGGTTCCCGGTACCGGAGAAAAACCGAGGAAAAAAAAAAAAAAAAAAAAAATCTGAATAACTAGCCAGGCATGGTGGTGCACACCTGTAATCTCAGCACTCGGGAGGCTGAGGCAAGAGGACCGCTGCAAGTTCAAGACCAGCCTGGGCTACAAAGTGAGCTCAAGGCCAGCCTGAACTGCGTAGTGAGACCCTGTCTCAAACAGACAAAAAACAAAACAAAACCAAAAACACAAAAACAAAAACAAAAACAAGAAAAACCTAAAAACAAAAAAACCCTGAATAACTGACTTTATTACTTGGGAAATTTTTCTATAGACTGGAAATGTTTCAAAATTTTAAAAAAATATGAGGGAAACACTTTCTTCTGACCTTCGCAGTCTGCATGATGCGGCCCGTGCACCCTCTTCAGCTCCATCCCTCACACTCACCATCTGTCCTCCAGCCTGCAGCCACACCAGCCTCTCTTCACATTACCATGCACCTAACTCCCTACTTCCAGGCCTTTGCACACACTCATCCATCTGCATGGAATGTGGAATCCTCCTCAACCTCCCCCAAATACTTCCTTTGCAGTCTTCAGTTCACAGTACAATTTTCACTTCCTCCAAGGAAGACTCCCTGAGCCGCTAGACGACGGTCTATCTGAATTTCAAACTATTCTATTTTTTACTTTATAGAATTAAAAAAGAATCAGATATATTAGATACTAAAATTTACTATCATCCAACATCTGCCATACATATTAGGCAATCTACACATTTGTAGCATGAATGAATGTTTAAATGACTGAATGAATAGTAAGGAAGATCAATGCTATTAATGCCTTCATAGAGCTTAAAATCTATAGTGTGCACATTTACTTTTCTGTTACAGTAAGTGCATAGCTACCACTAAACTGCTGGATGCGGGCCAGTGTTGCTTTAACTGCTACCATGAATGTATTGTATTAGGACTAGGGATGGGAGAGTTTACCAGTAACAAGGTCCTTCTCCACCCACAGATGCCCCGATGTGGAGTCAAATGAATAGCCTTCCACACTTCCTAATTCACTAAAAATACACACACACACACACCTGTAACATGGGAGGACTGTTATAGTTTGAGTATCTCCTAAGGCCATGTGTCCAAGATTTGGTCCCCAACTGGTAGGTCTACTGGGGAGTGGTGGGAACATCAGGAGGTGGGGTTTAGCTGGAGGAAGTAGGTCACTGGGAATGGACCTTTGAAGGGTATATTTATCCCTGGTGCTTTCCTCCCTCTTTCTTCTTCCTGGCCACCATGAGGCAAGTAGCTTTTCTCTGCCACACATTTACTACCATCATGATGCTCTGCCTGACTACAGGCCCAGAGCAAGAGCCAAATGACCCATGGACTGAAACCTCTAAAACCATGAGCCAACGCAAAACTTTTCTTCAAGTTGTTTCCTTCAGGAATTCTGTCACCACGATGGAAAGCTAATTAACATAAGGCTGTTAAGCTAATTAACAGAAGGTTGTTAAGTTTCAACTGAAATGGATTCTTTGGCAATATGATAACACATTTTTCCCTCGTTGTTTAATATGTCATTTCATATATTAAACTATATATGTTATAAAGTAAAATACTATAATAGTCTCCCACTTTCAGTGGTTTTGCTCTCTGTGGTTTCTGCTATCAGAGGTCAACTGTAGTCTAAAAATATTAAACAGAACATTTCAAAAATAACTAATTTATGTTTTAAATTGTGTGCCATTCTAAATAATATGATAAAATTATGTGCCAACCTGTTCCAGCCCACTGCGAGCATGAATCATACTTTTTCCAGCATATCCACATTGTATACACTACCCTCCCTTTAGTCACTAGCAGTTGTCTAGGTTATCAGATCAACTCTCACAGTTGAACTGCTTGTGTTCTGGCAACTCTTATGTAGTGCTTAATGCTATAGCACAGTGTCCATATCATTCACCTTCTTTTACTGCATTGCATGGTCATTGGATTACCTCAAATCATCACAAGAAAGATGAGTACAGTATAACAAGGTAATTTGAGAGAGACTACAAATGTTATTACATTTGTAAAAATACACACATGTACATGTGTGTACTATTTTGTTATAATTGCTCTGTTTTATTAGTAATTATTGTTGATCTACTGTACCTAATTTATAAAATAAACCTTATTACAGGTAAGTATAAATAGAAAAACAGATCCAGGGTTTGGTCCTATCCACTGTTCTAGACATCTACTGGAATCCTGGAACACAACCCTCATGAGTAAAGGCAGACTTCATATAACCAAACACCTGACAACCCGACCCATGTATGTTGTAGATACTCCAGCACCCCTCTCCTTCTTGGCCTCCCACCTGTCCAACAAGCAAGTATTTTTTAAAAATGTAAATGAGATCCTTTCAAATAAGCTGGCAGGGAGGTCAGGCTTTTTAAAAACTTATTTGTCCCTTCTGCCCCTCACTCTAAGACACATTGACACTGTGGTCTAGATCTGTGCAGTCCTTTCTCCATATCCTTGTGATGATGGGGAAAATACACGCATGTACATGCGTGTACGGGCTTTCATTCCTTGCCACTGCTCTTCTGTTCTCTCCACGTCTCACTTATGCTCCATGTGCTCTGTGCTCCACATTCTTTCCCTCTTTCCGTCTTCTCCCACACCTGTCTTCAGTAAGCCAGTAGCAGCCCCAAGCGCAGCGTGGCCCCAACACAGCCCTCAGTAGAGGGGTTAATACCTGGTCCCGGCCTCAGCTTCCTGGCACAGAGGAAATGCTCTACATTCCATTGTTTCTTTGTTCAATTTCAGACATGCTCCCCTTAAGGATAGTGAACACACACGCTCTGGGCACAAAGCGCACCCAGCCACGGCCAAATCAATAAGACAGTCATTTAAAAGATGGCTGTGTCCCAGAAAGTTAAGGAGAGCAAGAAATTCCACAAATATGGATCATCCGCAGAAGGGGGGCAACTGTAACTCTCTGCAAATAAAAGCAGAGCATCACAAACCACAAGAGAAAACACGACTGCTGGAAAGTAACAAACTGGTATTAAGCACTATTACAGGAAGTTGTGTTCTAATTTTTACACAATTATATCATAAGCATCCTTTGTTTCCATCAGGAAACAGTAACTGTGCTTATTGGTACAGAGATGGAAGACCAGAGCCTTCCAGGACTTGGGTACCCAGACACATTTGTAAAATTTCACTGTAAAATCACAACTGTACGATTTGCTATGGCTCATCCCCTCTGAGGGTCATGGTGGAATTTAATCCCCATTCTGAAGTAGTGAGAGGATGGAAATTTAAGCCACTATGGATAATGATTAGGATTAGATAAGGTCGGCATGGTGGGGCCCCATGACGGCATTCTGGTGGCTTTTTAGAAGAGAGAAGAGTGACCAGGACATGTGCCTGCGCATATCCTGTCCCTCGCCGTGTAATGCCTTGAGCCACCCTAAGACCCTACCAGCAGGAAAACATAACTAGATGCAACCCTCAACCACGGCCCAGACTTGTGAGCCAAAATAAACTTCCTTTCTTTATAATTTACCTACTCTGTATCACCAACAAAATGACTAATATACAACTTGCATTTTAATATTTAATTTCTGCAAAGTGGTATTTGTAACAGCCTGCAGACATAAGTCTTAACATTCTCCTGCCTTTTCTTTCTCTTTTCTTTCATTGCGACACAAGAGGCAAAAGGACTGAGAAGGAGATTTTCCTAAAGCCATACAGCGAAGAGGCAGGGAAAGGACAGAGACAGAAAGAGGGACATGAAAAAGAACAGTTCCAATGAATGAAATCCGACAGATCACTGGGGAAAATAAAAAGGAAAGGCACCGTTTTAAGAATGGAAACAGAACATCCCGAATGTCCATCAAAAGA